TAAGGCCCATTAATTTCCATAAGTCAAAATCAAATTCATGACGAACGAAATTAATAGTCGGTCTCCATTTGGCCATGCAATAGAATTCAGGGACCCCGAGGGGGGTTAATAAATTTAATCGCATTCTAAGTGAATCCCATTTCTCGGTCCTAAGGTCGTCAAATTTGATTATACGTCATCCGGGGGGAAGCCCGTACGCTCTCATAAGATTTCCTCTAACCATCTACTTTTAGAAATTTGTCCTGGTAATTTCCTACAATTAATTTTAGCAATGTCACCCGAGGGGGAGCCCATAACCGCAATTAATTGATTTACCGACAAATTCGAAATGGAGGCCTTAGGAATTTTACACAAGTACCGGGTTGGCCACCCAGGTCGGATACCGACTTTGCGAATGTACTCGTTGTCTTTAAGCTTGACCACTTTCTCTTCAAGGGCCTGCTGTCGGTCTGGGCCTAATTTTTTCCTTTTTTTGCATGACCGGCTTGACTGTGGGGTTGACCTACAGCCTGTGGCAGGCTACCCGGGGATTGATGCCGACCACTTCTTCATGGGTCCATGCGAAGACATCCGCATTTTCCCGGAGGAATTTAGTCAGCTCGGCCTTCATCGGTTCTGGCAGCTTGCTCTCAATTCGGAGCTGCTTCTGTCAAGTTTCTTCGTCGATAAAAATGACTTCTAACTCGTCCATAGGCTCGGCCCTTTTGGTCCCCCTCTTTTCTTCATATTGCGTCCAGGGGCCAAGTTCGTCTTCTTCTGTGGCCGGCTCGGTAAATACCGACCCTTCTCCCTCTGTACTGGTCCAGGTCGATCCAGGACCTGTTGTCTGCCCAGTCGGTAACGCCTCCGGTCAAAGGGAGTGGACCTGTCCGGTTCTCTGGCATGCGGTCATTCCTCCGGCCAGGGTTTTCTGGCTCGGCATTTACTCTTAGGGTGTCTCGATCATTTGCTATTTCAGATTCCACCTCGGGCCGCTCATTGACTGGGTTGGCACCCAACGTTACCAGAGGGGTTTCCGGGCCGCTCTCGGGAGCGGCCCCCTGCTCGGTCACTTCAGCCACGTTTATTTCTGCTCGCGGCATAGGCAGGATGCATTCACATGCCTCTTTCTGGTCCCCGCGATGAGTCCCTTCCCCATCCGAGGTTGGGTATTTGATGGAATAATGGTAAAAGGAGACGACGCCTCTCAATTGTAAAGCGTCGTTCTGCCTAAGATGGCGTTGTACTCGCTTGGGCAGTCCACGATCTTAAAAGTTTCCAGGATCGTCCTCGTGGGCTGCCCCTTCTCCCCGAATCGGATTGGCAGTACGACTTGGCCGACAGGGGTCGTCGTTTGTCCGTTAAAACCTTGTATCCGTTCTCGACAGGGTTGCACGTCCTTGTAATCGATCCCCATTTTCTTGAAGGTGTTGTAGTAGAGGATGCTCGCGTAGGCCTCGGTGTCCACCATGATGCGATGAATCTTGATCGCAATGATCAGCGTCGTGATCACCAGGGCGTCGGAGTGTGGGTGGCCAAACAAAAAGGCGTCCTCATCGGTGAAGGAAATCTTGTTCGACGTTGGCTCAAGTGCTAGCCTGCTGCTTGCATGCAGTACCCTTTGTCTGGCGTAATAGGCTTGCCGGGAGTAGGCTTTGGTTTGCCTCCTCGAAAGGAGGGATTCACCTCGGCTCGTGTTGACGCGCCGGGAAGAATAGATTGTCTGGTCGGTCCCTGCCGGCGGGGACCGATCTCTCTTTCTACCTCTGGAAGAGCCGGACTCACCTTGGTGGGTCGGGAAGAAGGTCATGATTTCATTGGGGCTGTCCTGCTGCGGCCTCTTCCTCCGATGGTGAACTTCGGCGTCTTCATCACTGTTGAGGCCATCACCGAAACGACCTCCTTTTTTTCTCTTGTCGCCGGAATGGGTGAATTTCTTGAGCTGTGGATCATCGATCAGCTTGAGCAGTGCCGTGATGAGATTTTGACATTGGTCTTTATTGTGTCCGTGCGCCTTGTGGTAAGTGCAGTATCGGGACTTGTCAACCTTGTCCTTGTCGACGTACATCGGCTTCGGATCCGGCAGTAAGCCTTTAGCCTTGATCTCCTCATAGACCGCAGCTGCCCCCACTGAAAAGAAGCACTGATAATTCTTTTTGAGCTCTTCGGCCTTTTGTTTTCGCAAGGCTCGGATCTCGGCAAAAGACTTACTCGGCTTTCTTGACTTTCCTTCTTTAGCCTTGCCTTTTTTCGGCGTTGCGTCGAACGTTGAGAATAACGAGGACTCCTCCGCCATGATGCAGTCCTGGGCTCGCGCGAGGAACTCTTGATAAGTTGATGGCTTGTTCTTACACAGGGACCACTTAAACAAAGTTTTCGGTTTCAGAGCTCCTTGAGCGGTTATCAGCAGCGCGTCGGGGTTGCACTGCTCTATGTTTTAGACTCGGTCGTTGAATCGAGTAAGGTAGTCTTTTAAACTTTCGTCCTCCCCTTGGATGATGTTGGCAATTGATTCCTTGGGGGCAAGATTGATCTGCAACCTGATGAAGTGTGACCAGAACGTCGACCTGAGTTGCCCCCAGGTGGAGAAGGAATAGGGGTACAGAGAATGGTACCACATCTGCGCTTTCAGCCCCAGCGTTAGAGAAAACATGCGGCAGCGCAAGGCGTCCGTCGCGCCATGCAAGTCCATCCACGAAGTGTCGAAGCCAATGTGGGAATCCGGGTCGGAGCTTCCGTCATAGAGTCCGAGCTGCGGCACCTTTATTTTTGCCGGGACGGCTTCATGTAGGATGTCTGGGAAGAGAGGTGAAGCATGATCCATGACTCGGGGAGTTGGTCGCGTGTGGGGGCGAGGAGGCGACACCTTCTGGACAGAGTGTCGTCCTTCCAATTTGACAATTCTGTGTTTAAGGGCTTTGACTTCGTCGGTGTCGCGTCCGATCGCTTTTCCCCGCTCAATGACCTCCCTGAGGTCGCGGTTGGCCTGGCTTTTGTCGCCTAAGCACTGGTGGATGGGTCGTCGGAGGATACGTACGCTCTGTTCTGGCAGGCTTTCGCCAGTCTGTTCGGTGGGTGCCAGCCTCGATCTATTTTTGCAACGATTCTGGGCTTCATGATTGGGGGACTGAGCCGTGGTCTTGGATTTGGCTGGATTTTCCTTTGCCCCCCAGCCTCCTTGTCGGGGGTCTGAAGCAGAGTGTTATCGGGATTTTCCGTGGGGGCCACGGTGTTTCCCCTGGCTGTCTGGCTCGTGAGCATCCTCGAGAAGACCCCCTCGAGGGCTTTGAGGAACTCGGGGTGCTGCATGGCCACAGTAAAGGTGGGGACTGGCGGAGAGGGGCTTGAATTCCCTGCTAAGCGCTGCGGGAGGTTTCGCCGCCGTTGCGCCGGCGGGATTGGGCGTCGGACTGTTGGGTGGACTCGTTGTGACCTGATGAAGCCATTTTAGGAAACTTTGAAGTGGAAAAAGGGTTGGAATAGGAATGAATTCAGTGTGGAATCTCACAAGATCGAAATGTTGACACCAAATAACTTATGGTGCCCTCCTTCTAGCGCCAAACTATTGATGGATGGATCCGATCAACGGTTAAAATAAAATGTGATGAAAATGCGAAATGGAAAGGTGGAGAGAAAATACGAGATAATCACAGTTTATTATATAATCACGAGGTCGGCCTCTCGTACGAGGTCGGTACCTTTCTTACAGTTTATTATGGGTATTACATGCGTTTTAGAGAGAGAAAGTAGAGAGAGAGTCTGGTAGTTGAGGATTCAACAACCCAAAAATAAATGAAGTGAATTTCTATTTATAGTGCTCTTAAATGTGGCACTGTTCAGGTACTGTTCATCGGTCTTATCGCACAGTGTTCTTGTAGATCAGTCCGGCGCCTCCCTGACAGATATTAATGTGATTTGAAGTTTTCTTAATCATTGTCTGTCAGGCATTTAATGCACACATGGGGGGCATTTAATGCTGGCAAGCTTTATGTCCTGGCTAACTGCTGTAGAATGGCAGGCTACGACGCCCTGTCCAATCACCCATGATTACCCTCTAAGTGGTATTATTATATTACTATCGAGCTCCGCGCTTGCCCCTGAAGTAGCCGCTATAAAGTTTCAGGTCGGCTCCCTAACTCATTTCCTTCTTCCGGTCTTCTGGATTCTTACTTCAGACCGCTACCTCTTCGAGGTCGGCACCAGCGCTCGAACGACACAAACGCCGAACTCGGGAATAAAACCACATAGATGCGATGGTTAGTTAGCTCGGGATTCAGCTCGGCACTTGCACACCCGGCCGAGTTGCTGGCTCGGCTTTTGGAGTTGCCTTTCGTCCGGTTTCCTTTTAGGGCGAACTCGGATGTCAACATGATTATTAAACATATATAAAGAAATATATATTATTAAAATCTATTTATTATTTTTAATACTTATATTTAATATTTTATATTAATTTCAAATTATAGATTTTATTTTACTGTGCAGTCTAAACCGATCGATTTTTTTTTGGGTCCCAGATCAAATTGAGACCGAATCGAATTACTCTATTTATTCGGTCAGTTGACAGAATTATTGAAATAATCTATATAATTTATTAATATTATAAAATTATATATTAAATACAAAATCGATAATGTGCATTCTCACTGACATTAATGTGCATTTGGTTTATTATTATTGTGCAGTATGTAGTACGTTTTTTTTTTCTTGTGCATTTCAATTTTATACAACTTTAATAATGCATAGTTCAGTTAACATTATTGTGCAGTGTGAGAGTCAATAATGTGCATCTTGTATTTAATATTTCAATATTTGTCCATAAATATGCATTTGTTAAAGTTTTGTTATAAATTATATATTTGTCCATAAATTAAATTGAAAATCATTCAACATTCATGAAATTGCATATATGCCCCTCAACATTATTTAATTTTCGAAATCAATCAAAAGCCTAAATCCCCAAACCAATTGGGGATCTTGTTGCAACACCATGGTCATTCCATCTCTGGCTCAACGGCGACCGGACACCGGAGGAGCTGCACCTCTATTCGACTACACCGCCGCAACCGCTGGGGCCGTCGGGCATAGACACCCGCCTGAGACCTCCGCATACGAGAGAACGATGACAGCCTGAGACCTCCACATATGACAGTGGCGGCTCCATATTCCCGACGCCGAATTAGCACTAGACGCTGCGCCCTCTCAAACGTCGTGGCTTTCGGATGCTCGGAGAACGAGGTGGCAGCCGTGGCCGTGTTGGTGCTATCGGAGACGAGCGCCTGGAGAGACCATTACCGGAAAATACGAGCTCGTCCTCTCAGACGTTGTCTGCGGCGTAGCTGCTAGTGGAATTGAAAAGCAGCGGAGGTCGACCGACGAAGGAGAGAGGATGGCAGCGGAGGCCAGCCGTAGAAGGAGAGAGAACGACGGCGGATCGAAGGAGAGAGAAGGCGGCGAAGGCCATCCGGAGAAGGAGAGAGGACGACGACGGGGACCCGCCGGCGGCGGCGGTGGATGCCGACTGTGGCGACTGACCCTGCCTGTGCATGTGTGTGTGTGTATGTGTGTGTGTATGCGTGTGTGTGTGTGTGTGTGTGCGTCTGTGTGTATTTTGTGTGTGCAGCGTGAGTTTTGTGCGTGTTTGTGTGTGTGTGTGTGTTTTTGGTGCTGAATGTGTGTGTAAGTGTGGTGTGCATGTGTCTGAGTGTGTTTTGTGTGTGCGTGTCTGGCGTGTGTATGAGTGTGTTGTGTGTGTGTATGATGATGTGGTATGGGACCCACTGGTGAGTTGGATGGTTAGATGGTAATTGTAATGTCTAAATTACCCTTATGAATAAATGGATGTTTGATTTATTTTAGCCAATAGATCATCCGATCTAATGGTTATGATTCATTCTTATTTCTTTCACTGAGTACCATTCTCACCGGAGCGTGACCCTATATATATATATATATATATATATATATATATATA